TCCCTCGGCAATATTTATTTACAAGATTATAAAAGTATGTAAACCAAGTAAAATGCGATATTTATTATTTACCTTTTATGAAGAAATAAATTTGGAAAAAAAGTCTTTCTGTTCAGACATTTAAAAAAAGATTACAAAATTATCAAATATATAAACCAACTACAATGCAATATTTATTATTTACCATTTTATAAAATAACTATGAAGACAAGTTTTTTAATTCATTACTTCATAAAAATATCAATGAATTATAGAACAAGTATTTCATTATAGTTGGTTCACATATTTTTATAAACTTGTAAATAGAAAATTATTCTTGTAAATAATCAATCTAATAAATAGCGTTTAACATCTTTGTTGTCAATTCTCAAGAATTAAGAAAATGTATAAACCCACTTTTATATGTCTGACTTCTATTAAAATTCTAATCGTCACTTTTTAAAACAATAAACATGACCAAGGAAGTTAAAAGTGTATTTTTTTTTTTTTTAATCAATTTACCTCAATCAAGGTGATAATATCACTAAGATGCTGGGAGTGAAAAAAAACAAAAAAGTTTATCAGGAACCGAAAACCTAATCCTAAACAAGAAACAAGGGATAAACCTTTACTCCTGTACAATAATAGCGGTGTTAAGGGAATAACCTTCCTTTAGACATGCTGTTTTTTTTTTTTTTTTTTTGTGGGCATGAAGGTTAAATATTGCCAAAAATGGATTTTCATACAGAAATCCACTATTTCAGTCTCATGAATTTTAAAAATTTTTTTTTTTTTTTAAACAGCACTTTTTGATCTCCAAATAATTTTTTTTTTTTTTTTTTTTTTTTTTTTTTTTTTTTTAATTTTCAATGGATAAAAGAAAATATTGACTGCTCCTAAATTTAAAGAAACAGTCGAGACCTAATAACCAAACAAGCTGAAAAAAAAATCATACCAATAAAAAAAAAAAAACACATCTGTTTTTTTTTTTTAATACTATAGCTACTCCATTTTACAGATTTATATCTGATACCACAATGGTATTTATACTAATATCTTCATCGGGTTACCGTAGTTAATGGAAGGGTTTTTCTAGCAACAGTTTCTCCACCCAGGCCTTCATGGTTAACAAGGTACGTCTTGGTATATCACTGACTGATTGTCCATTTATTAATTCACGTGATTTTACTAACATTTATCTAGAGTTTTCATTGCTTGGAAAGATGCTGTGCTAATTCGTATGCAAACATAAATGGAACGATAAATTATGTATGAAAAAATTGAAAAAAAATCATGTAACCTTATATGAAATATAGATTACTATAAAAAAAAACAAACTACCAACATTTTTTTTAAAACCTTTTCATGATTTTGAACAACTCATGTACCATTTACAAATATATATTCCGTTTTCTGTTTTAAATTTATATTTTAGATACAAAGACAAGTTGAAGAGCATCTTGTCAGCTGTCAGAATACCGAAACAAAAATTTTCAAGCACTTTAACCTTAGAGGGTAGAGTGCATTCAATATTTTCAATCTGCTAGTCTGAACTGTCTTCATGAAGCAAGAACAAAATCTAAAAGGTCAGCCAATCTAACAGTGATCTCGTCCCACAATTCTCACTCTTGCTCCATATGCGGCCTCTTTTGCAAATCACTTGTGGGTCACTTAAGATTATTGCACAAAATTCATAAATGAATCATTTGGTTGTCAGATCCTCATATGTCAAAACCGATGGGAAAGTACATCATATATATTTGTTTTTTTTTTTTGTAAGCATTACACCCCGAGCAAGGCGTGAAGCCACTAGGATGCAGGGGGTTACAGAAGATTTGGAGCGAGAGCAAATAGGAGTGATAGAAGAAAGGATGAGGAGAAGGATAGTGGATAGATCAAGGTAACTGGAGATGTCGATTGACATTACATTTGAATAGTTGGAGATTATAGCTCTCAGGGAAACAGGAATAGAGAAGGGTGTTCCACAGGCGAGAGGTGCGAGGTATGAAGCTATTGGAGTAGAAGAGACGGCTACATTTTAAAGTTTCTACAGTGTAAGGGTGAGAGCGGGATGCCAGCCTCGTAGGGCGCTTGAATTCATGGAGTCTGGGAACCAGTGAAAGCAGCTCATCGGAGCAATTACCATGAAAGTATTTGTAAAAAAGACAGAGAGAGGGGACGGCATGTCTGTGAGAGAGTGACTGTAGACGAGATGCCAGATTGGGGCCAATTATATTACATATCCGCCTCTGGATCTTGTCAAGAACTCCAAGGTAAACAGAAGGTGCCCCCAGACCATATATGGCAGCAATACTCCATGCAAGGGCAAATGGTTGATTTGTATATTTGAAGTATCGATTCCGGGGAGAAAAATTTCCTGGTGTGGCACAGAGAGCCAACTTATATATATATATGTGTGTGCGTGCGCTTCATTGAATGTGATAGTTACAGATTTTCTTTTATAAGGACAAAGAGTGTATAGAAACTTGGTCCACAGAAAAGACAAATTGATTAATAAATTTACATGTCCATTACATTCAATGAAACATGTACGAAAGAAGGATTGTTGTCTATGTTTTAAATATATATATATATATATATATATATATATGATAAAGAACAAATAAGAAATGTTTATAAATGTAACCTATTACCCGTTTATTATTCATCAGAGAAATAAAAATGATACATGTCAGACTGATAAACATTTCCTATTTGTTTTTTATCATATATATATATATATATATATATATATATATATATATATATATATATATATATATATATTTCTCTCTGCGGGGCATCGATGGCCTAGGGGTTAGAATCTCTGACCGATACCAAATCGGTTGGGTTTCAGTCCAAGCCTGAAGCGATCGGATGTCTGGCCACACTGATGAGCTGTGATACAGTTAAACAGCCTGTCTGTGGATGACATATATATATATATATATAAATATAAACTAAGCGTAACAGCAAAATTGTCCATATCATGTAACAGTATGAGATAATTGTCCTTCCCCTAAAATGTTTAATATTTAAAAACCCGCTAAACTAATTGAGTTGAACAGTCTGTCTGTGGATGACTTATATATATATATATATATATATATATATATATATATATATATATATATATATATATATATGGGATTTGTAACAGCAAAATTGTCCAAATCATGTAACAGTATGAGATAAATCCTTCCTTAAATTTAAAATGAAAAAACATCTAAAAAAAACACTAAATAATTGATTTTTTTTTCCATATATATATTTTCAGATAAGTCAAAATTTAGATAATTCATCTTTTGAAACCATTAACATCTAAAAAATTTTAAACACTGAGAATTTTTTTTCAAGATAATTATTCAACAAGAAAGAGAACAGGTTGATCAAATCATTTGATCAAAAAGAAAAGAACAGGTTAAAGATTTTGATTTCCCAAATGAGCAATGATGAGAGGAAAAAAGATCATTGAGGCCTTCAGTAATGATACCAACATTCAGACTCTGGCTTCCATCTTGAAAATTCATTCAAGAACCATTAAGAGAATGGTGAATAAGTTTAAAAAGAGGTGACAGTAGAGAGGAAAATGGGTCAAAAGGTCACAACAGGAAGAAGGGTCATCATTTCAACTTAGAAATGATTAAATAATGTATTTAGTTCTAATATACAGCAGTTCAAAGTTCAATCTAACAATTAGATAATTTAATTTTACTGCAAAATTGTATATATATATATATATATATATATATATATATATATATATATATATAGTCTTAAGATGTGCTATATTTATGGGATAAAGTGCTCAAAAATATATATATATATATATATATATATATATATATATATATATATTTATAAATAACAAATTCAAACAAAAAAAGTAGATCAGTAAAGTTAATATAAAAAACAGAATTTCATTTTTGCAAACAAAATTTTAAAGGTGGATTAATCTACAAATCACTTTTTGATGAATGTTATGATCCTTGTTTTAAAAAAATTATAAGATTGTATAAGGTCTTTCTTTAATACGCAAGTACTTTCAACTGTATATTCAGTCATCTTCAGGCATGGAAATTATTTTGTTTTTGGTAAAATTCAGGTAGCATCCGAGACAAAAAACTTAAATGTGAATCAAAATATGTTAACAATAACTCATTTAAAAAAAAAACATAGAGCCATCAGGGAAGCAAGGAAGAGGAGAGGAGCTCCACGCATGAGACATGAAGCTCTTGGAGTAGGCTACATTTAACCGTTTCGACAGTGAAAGGGTGGGACTGTGATGCCAACCTGGTAACATGTTTAAATTCATATAGTTTGGGAATCAGTGAAAGTAGCTCATCCGAGCAGTTACCGTGAAAGTATTTGACAGAGGGAAACGATGGCACATCAGTGAGAAAGTGACTGTAGACAAGATGCCAGATCAGGGCCAATCATATTGCATATCCATCTTTGGATTTTGTTGAGCACCTTGAGATGAACAGGGGAGGCTCTAGACCATATATGGCAGCAGTCGTCCATGCAAGGGCAAATGGTTGATTGATAGATTTGAAGGATCGACTCGGTTGAGAAGAACTTAGATTTTATTGTTCAGTTCATTACAGTATAGAGATTTAGAAATAGAAATGTTACAAATGGCGTGAAAATGACATTAAAACTATCTGAAGCTGGTTACCACAAACCTGTTACACATGTAGTACACCTTAATTAGCACTCGGGTACAATTTCTCACTTCGTTACCATCTCCTTTGAATGGAACCTGGTCATTAAGATTGATTCGTTTTCTAAGGCTTATCAACACTTTGCAGGTTATTTAAAGCCAGAAAATATTTTAGGTTGTAAATTTTTTTTTTTTTTTAGATAATGATTTAGTGAAACAAGTCTTACTAATTAACCCATAGTTGGGAGGGAGAATGCCTGTAAATGAAGATAATGAACCCAACTGGAATTGGAACTCGCCCCCTTTCCACTATTAATAATTCTGTGCCATTATCCATTACGCTACCGGCACATCCAAGCTTACAGTACCTGGTATTCCCAAGTGGTCAACCATCTAGGTACTGGCCAGGCTTGATGTTGCTTAACTTTGGTGATCGTATAGGAGGTGGTGTTTCAATGTGATGTCATTGAGGACTGCTTGTATTGTTTGAAATTTTTAGATGAAGCATTGACTTCATCCTAGGAATTATTTGAACTAGTATCCTTATCTTTGTTGTTTCAATCAGTAACTTTTGACCAGCCTGTTTTCTAACCATTCTTTCTCATATTTGAATTATGAAGCATCACGATTATTTTATGAATTACTGTAATTATTTGTGTAAAACACCCCCCCCTACACACACCCACAGATTTTTAACTCAAATGAATGGTGCTTGTATTATACACAAGAACTAAATTTTGACTTTTTTTTTTTTTTTCCAGCCTCACTGTTTGGGACAATATGATGAAATGTCTGTTATATTTATAGTTCAAATTAATCTGACATCTAACAAAGTATTTAAAACACTAATCAAATTGTGCATTAATTGTTTTTAAATTTTATTTACATACATAAGTGTATTTTAGTTTACATCTCTGCTGTTGATCTCATGACAGTTTTATCTGATAGATGTCTTCGTCAACTTCATTGTCATCCGGAGTCATCTTGTTCTTCTTCTAAAAGGGGGAAATAGTAATGTCCACTTCTGTTTTATGCTGCGATGGAGAACTAGCCACTAGGATGTGTATTTATTTATATTAATAAAATGTAACGTCTCCACTAACATATATAATAATCAAGACGAGGCCATAATTTGAAAAAACAAATTAAAGTTTATTAATAATTCCTAATCTACAAAATGGAATACAAAATTAGTAAAAAAAAAAAAAAAGCCCCAATAATCACGAAGTGTCAAAACCATTTGATAATATAAAGGCTCCCAAAATACACCAGGTGTTGGTTAAACATGTATTGCTGTCATCTAGTGATTGTGAGATCAATCCCTGGATCAGGTAGTGAATGCTGTCTTTGGTTTTGCTGTCAAGTATTTTAAAACATGTGAGTGTTATGGGCTGTTAGGATTGTTCAGCCGATATATGATAAGAACAGTAAAATGGTTTGATTTTTTGATTCAGGTCCAAACATTCCCCCGGTACCTGCCCAGTAGGTATAAACTCATGCTGCTATATTCTTCTTTTTAAAGAGGCCGGAAATGGAATTCAATTTTTTATATATGGGCAGGAGCTGCCCAGTATTCATTTTTCAAATTTCAAGTCTCAAAATTTTTGTCAGTTCTGTCCTTGTGGGTGATGAATTACAACCCCTTTCCCCACAGATGAATCATCACAAGCCTCTTGCTGCTCTGTCGCTATTTCCAAAGAAATGAACTACATTTCCTAAATAAAGGGTTGGGTTCAAAATTCCAACGTATATCATTGAAGACGCTTGGAGCATAGAATGGCCGAAACGTCGTGAATATGCCAATTAAAGATGAGGACAACATCCTGAACGATGTAAAGTATGTATACATTTCTTAGTTCTAACTTTCACAGCTAAGACTCACCATTGTAGTAAACGACCCTCATTCCCTTCCTATCTCATTAGATGTAAGTTCCACTTGAGTAGCTTCATTGCATGAACTGCTGCTTTGTGGAACCAGCTCCCAAAAAGATGCTTCCCAGATCGCTACGATCTTAACCTGTTCAAGTCAAGACCGTTAGTCTCTCCATTTATCCGCATCAACTGTGCCTCCTTATTCTGGAACCTTTTACCTCACATCACGTTGAAATACTGGTTCCCATATGATCACTGAAGTTAAGCAACATATGCCTACTCAATATGGGTGACTGCTTGGGAATACCAGGTGTTGTAAGCTTGGATGTTCAGTCCAGACTGGTTTTCTGTTCTGTCTAGTTCGCACTCTCCGGGCACTGGAGTCTCTGTACATACGGTCCAGGGAGACAGTCTCTTTGTAAGCAAAAAGTCTGTCTCCTTGGACTTCACATTATGAGACTCTAGTGTCTGTGAATCATACAGAGGTTTAATTTTTTTTTCTTCGGCCATAAAATTGCTTGTTTTTTTTTTTGATCTTCCTTCATACCATTAATCATTTCAATTTTTTTTAATGTTTTAATTGTATGTAGGGTGTTTGTAGGAGTAAATGTACCTTTGCAATAAATTATTAATCTGTTTGATTTTGAAATTTGATGAGCTTGGGAAACTAAATCGGTTGGTCTGTCTTGTAAGTGTTTTTCATTTCTTATTTTCATATTTCACAATGCCTATAAGAAACAAATTATACCTTTTTTTTATATATATAATATATATATATATATATATATATATATATATAAAAATAGGAAGGAACTGGTTAGGTAAATAATCCAAAGTTCCTTAGTATTTTAGTTATTATTTTTAAAAAATAGTGCTCGATACAAAAAGTAGAGCATAAATATAATCATTTATTTAAAAATATGATTCCAACTCGCAACATAAGAGGTCTCATGTTTCAAAACAAGAGCCGAAAACTTCAATATAATTATTTGAATTAAATTGAGTTAAATTGAATTGAATTAAAGCGAGTTGGAATCATATTTTTAAATAAATAATTATATATATATATATATATATATATGCACACACACACACTTAATTAAGCACCCTGTTAGTTGGGGTCAAGAATATGTTAACTGCATCTCCTATATGGTAAGATAAACCACTATAGAAGAGGCCATTTGTTTCTATGTCTACCTTTTTTGGCTCTCACAAAAACTGAACATATATCTACAGTCAACGACAATTATTCGTACACCCATCAATTTTGAATATTTTTATCCATTTCTCAGAATCTAATGCCTGTATGATGCCAAGTTTTTTGTATCTTAAGCACAAAAACGGAATATAAAACTCAATTTTCAGCACAGCAGGTTAAATACAAATTTGACAGGCGAATTATGCAAAATAGAAAAAAAAACAAAATTATTCGTACATTAGAAAATATTGTTTTAAATTGATTGATTCTTGTAAGTATAAGTAATTTACATAATTATTTTATTGGTGAAGACTTCTTGACTATTTATTCAGTAGAATATTTGCGATAATTCCAGCAAAGAACATCTCATAACAAGTGTCTCCATTGTTATTCTTACGCTAACAACATGATGTGGAAGACAAAGTGTTGTCTTAATAATGACCTGAAGTCTGGCCAAAATTTACTTGATCTTAAATGCTTTCATAATATTAATTAGTTCCAGACATATCTTTTTTTTTTTGTTAACTTCAACAGCTAAAAAAAGATATATCATACTTATAAAACACAGGTTGTGTGTGTGTGTCTGTTCGTTTATATATTGGATGGGATTTCCTACATTTTTCAAGCGATTTCAACAAAACTTCACAGGACTGCATAAAATTACCTTGCGGTGGTTCTGACAGTGCCAAAAATTGGAAAAACACAATTGTTTTTGCATGAAATCAATTTGAAAACCTGATTAAGAGGCATTAATGAAAGGGGGACAACTCACATTGAGTTATACTTATTATAAAACCCAGGTTGTTTGTGCGTGTGTCTGTTCGTTTATATATGGGATCGGATTTCCTACATTTTCAAACCGATTTCAACAAAACTTCACTTTTTTTTTTTGGCAGGTAGTGTTTCTTATTGTCTTGTACACTTTTTTTTTTTATTTTTACATTCAGAATGCTTTTAAAATTCCATTTACAAGACAATTGTTTATAATAAAATTCTATTCAATCGGTAGACTCATAACGATTGAAAACAATGTTTTTGTTTTTGGGTTTGACCAAAATAAAAAAAAAAAAAAAAAAAAAATAAAAATAATTAAGACATGCGTGTCCGTCAACCTTTAAACAATAATCTTTGTCAATTTTATTTTCAGTCTTTTGATGATTTCGATACTTGATCTATCTCTTACTGTTACATCCCCAGGCAACACAGGGCTCTACTGCTAGTATTTATTAAAAGTTCACCTAAATAAGGATCAAGAACAACTCATGATTACTGAATATTTACTTGATCTTAAATGATTTTATAATATTAATTAGATCCAGACATATCTTTTTTTTTTGTTAACTTCAACAGCTAACTAAAAATTCAGTAATCATGAGTAGTTCTTGAACCTTGGTTAGGTGAACTTTTAATAAATATATATCTTTTTTAGCTGTTGAAGTTAACAAAAAAAAGATATGTCTGGATCTAATTAATGTTATAAAAGCATTTAAGATCAAGTAAATATTCAGTAATCATGAGTGGTTCTTGAACCTTGATTAGGTGAACTTTTAATTAGTTGTATAGACACAAGGGGAGGAAGTAAATGCAGATTAGGATATGGGGTAGATAACTTTGACTTGAAGGGGTTAAGATTGTAGTGATTGAGGAAGTATCCTCTTGGGAGTCTGTTCCATGACGTATTGGCTCTCAGGATAAAACTGTTTGAGTAGAACTTCCTCCTTACCAATGGAATACAAAAGAAAGGAAGATAATTCACCTGTGTACATGGCATGGCGAGTCCTAGCTGTGCAGGTCTGAACTAAGGGATGTAACTTGTCTGAACATTTGCCATGAAAATAGAAATAGATTAACGATAAGCTTGCGTCATCTGCGAGAAAAGGGCAATAGGGTTGAAAATAATTCATTGCTCACAAGGTTAGAACATTAACCACATATTTTTTAGTCAAATCTGAATTTTGTTCAAGATTGAATTGATAATTGGTTCAAATATATATGTATACATACACACTCTTTTTTTTTTTTTTTTTTTTTTTTTTACCAAACTATCGCTATGAATTAAAAAAATAGCAATGGCTTTTAAATGACCCATTGAGGTTGATATGCCATAAAACAAAACAACTGACAACCAACAGGAGAAAATTCAGGCCTCTGTTCAGTGATAAGCCTGGAGAGGAAGGTCTGCTTTTTATCTCATAGGCTTCAGAAACTGGCCCTTAATAGTTTTGGATGTATTGAACATTACAAGCTAGTAATTTCATCAGTTAGTGTTAGGTCAGATGAGAGATCAGCTGCCAGATTTGAATCATCTAGATTTTTCGGTGGTGCCACCCATAAACCATGGTATCAAATGCATAGATATTCACTAAATTTCCTGAGCAGATCGTTGA